ATTTTGTAATCTGATGTGATTTCCTTATGTGTTGTAAATTCAATCACTAAGATCTAATAAGATGGATTAGCGGCAGTTATACTGATGAGGTGTACAAGATTAGTTAGTGTCTTAAGCCAACCTCTTTTAAGATATAAAAGAGAAAAGTGAGCAGAGATACGTGGGAATCTCATACCACCAAGAAAGCAGTGCTGGGAGCAGAGCCATGTCCTTTGGACCCAGGGTTCCTGCACAGAGAAGCTCCCAGACCAAGGGAAGATTGATGACAAGGACCTTCCTCCAGAGCTGACAGAGAGAGAAAGCCTCCCCCTGGAGCCAAAGCCCTGAATTTGGACTTGTAGCCTACTGGACTGTGAGAGAATAAATTTCTCTCCGTTACAGCCATCCACTTGTGGTATCTCTGTTAGAGCAGCACTAGATGACTAAGACAGGCCCACTGTGAACTTGCCCAGTCGTCTCTCCAGTCTCATGATCCGCCTCCTCCCAGCCTCCCCCTTACTCGCTCCAGCCACACTGGCCCCCGTGCTCCTCCTCGCCCAGGACCCCCACACACTGCTCCTTAGCCTGAAATGCTCTTCCCCCAGATACCTGCACGGTCCCCTCTTTTAAGATTGTACTTATTGGTGCCTTTTCAGTGAGGTGTTCTCTGCTGTCCCTATCTATAATTGCACCCCGCCCCCCATGCCTGACACGCCCTTCCCTGCTTTACTTTTCTCCACAGCAACACTGCCCACCTTGATCTGACACCCTAGATATTGGAGTCTTCCAGGGGCTGTCCGTTCTGCCCGGAACACCTGGCCTACATGCTCTCCAGGCCAGCTGCTCATCCTGTCTCTGCTCAAATGTTGCCACCTTAGAGAAGCCGCTGCCCCAGGTCCTCGGTTACATTTCCATTCAATCTGAAAGTAGCTTGCTTATTAGTTTACTGATTCATCTTGTACTCAAGCCGAATGTGAGCACCACGAGGACAGGGATTTTTGTCAGCTGCGTTCACCCCACCCCCAGGTCAGTTTCTGGCCATGAATGGTGGGACTGGGCTGAGCCCAAGTGTGGTGAATCTGTCTTCATCTGTCTTCTGTCATCCGTCCTGCAACACTGTCTGTTCAGATCCTTGTCCAGGAGCTCAGGCTTGACGTCCATGTGGAAGGGGCGGGGCCTTGGGCAAGGACCACAGCAACATCAGGCCCTCTGCAGACAATGGTGAAGTGAAGGCTCAGGATTCCTCAGGTCCAAGGAGCTGAGCCACCCCAGGCAAGGATGTGGGAGAGATGAAACACAGGGGAGTGAGGGGAGGAAGAAGCAGAAGTGAGGAGAAACAAGGAGGCCAAGGGGGGCAGGAGATTAGAAAACGAGAGAGATGGGGAGTCAAGGCGGCAGACGTGAGAGCCAGCAGACCTTCGTGGGAGGGAAAGAGGTATGGGGACGCTGGGAGAGAGATGTGGGGGGACAGAAACATGGAAAGACATAGGGGACAGAGAGATGTGGGGGCCAGGAAGACAACGCTGAAGGTGGGGCAGAGGAGACTGACAGACAGAGGGATGAATGTGTGGGAGACAGAGACCCAATGGGGGAGACAAGGCAGAGAGAGACACTGTCAGTCCAGGAGCGCTGGCAGGCTCCATAAGTCCAAGGCCTGAGTCTGAGCTCTGTACCTGCCACACCTATGTCCCTCCTGTGTCCCAGGACAGCTCAGGCCACAGTCTCAAACTTCCAAGTCCCCAGGGGCAGCCACATTGTAGCTCTAGCTGACTGCTGTTGTTGTTGTTAGGTGCCGTCAAGCCCGTTCCGACTCATGGCAACCCCACAGGACAGAGCAGAACTGCCCCATAGGGTTTCCAAGGAGCGGCTGGTGGATTTGAACTGCCGACGTTTTGGTTAGCAGCGCAGCTCTTAACCACTACACTACCAGGACTCCAGCTAACTGCTACCACCTGGGAATATAAGCCCTGTCTAGCCAGGTCAGCTGAGCCTTCAGGAAAGACCAGAAATTATTTTAGAGCACCTTTAAGGGAGGCCAAACAACCCCCTCGCTGATGGTCTGAGACACCTTACCTGTGGAAGTGCAGCAGGGGCTCCTTTCTGACTTCTCCCCCCTGTCGCCCCCTCTTATCCCAGCAGCACCCTGAGAGCCACCGCTAGGCTGAGGATCTCAAGCTTGGCGTTGGAGATGTAAGCAGGGAAAAGTCCTAATCAAAGTTTCATTTTTAAAGAAATGACACCCTCGCCCCACCCAAAAAAAAGGCAATAAAATATGGAGGCAAAAGGGACTTAGGTAGGGCCTGAGAGACGCTAGTATAGTAATTGCAAACTCAGGCCCTCCAGGGAGCAGGCAGGGAGAATAAATCCACAAACGGGCACCTAGACAGGAACTTGGTGGGTGTTATGAATTGAATCACGTCCCCAGAAAAAATGTGTTTCAACTTGGCTAGTTCATGATTCTCAGGATTGTGTGATTTTGTCATCTGATGTGATTTTCCTGTGTGTTGTAAATCCTACCTCTATGATGTTAATGAGATGTGATTAGTGGCAGTTATGTTAATGAGGCAGGACTCAATCTACAAGATTAGGTTGTGTCTTAAATCAATCTCTTTTGAGATATAAAAGAGAGAAGGAGTAGAGAGACATGGGGACCTCATACCACCAAGAATGTAGTGTGGAGCAGAGCCCATCCTTTGGACCCGGGGTCCCTGTGCTGAGAAGTTCCTTGACCTGGGAAGATTGATGACAAGAACCTTCCTCCAGAGGAGACGGAAGACAGAAAGCCTTCCCCAGGGGCTGGCGCCCTGAATTTGGACTTGTAGCCTCCTAGACTGTGAGAGAATACGTTTCTCTTTGTTAGAGCCGTCCACCGTGGTACTTCTGTTATAACAGCGCCAGATGGCTAAGACAGTGGGGACAGGAGCCGCAGGCCTCCTCCGGAGCCAGCCATCTGGGTTCGAATCCTGGCTCTGCCACCTTCTGGCTGCCTGACTTTGGGCAAGTTACTGGACCTCTTTGTGCCTCAAGTTCTTCATCCCGAAAGTGGGCACGATGACAGTGTGGAGGTCACAGTGAGTTTCCAATGTTATTAACTCTAGGCCTGACAGCAGAGAATACCTGCTATCAAGTGAATTCGAACTCACAGCGACCCTATAGACAGAATAGAACTGCTCGTAGGGTTTCTAAGGCTGTAAATCTTTACGGAAGCACACTGCTGCATCTTTCTCCCGTGGAGCGGCTGGGTGGAGCCGCTGACCTGTCCAGCAGAGTATAAGAACTCCTTAAATATCGTTATTAATAAATGGAGCAGGCACCACTGAGCTCCCACCAATTGTTGCTTGTCATTGTCAGATTATTTTTTGTCCAGAAAAGCCAGAAATTTGGAAATATGATGAAATGTCCGGAGTTTTACCTACTGAACCCTAGTTTACATGAAAACACACAGTATGTGGGCCAGGCAAGCCACTGGCGGGGTTGCCCCGCCCGTCGGCCAGTGCGAGCCGCGCAGAGGCCCGGCGCAGCTGCTGCACCCACCGGTCTAGAGCCCGCGAGCGGCTGCGCCAGGGGTCGCTCGTGGCCCCGCTCGCCCCCCCGCACCCGCCGCTACAGCGCTCCAAGCGCCGCGCTCGGCCGCGCCCGGGTTGCGGGCGGAAGGGCCCGGGGGGCCAGGAGCGCGCTGGTCGGGGCCAGGAGCGCGCTGGAGCGGGTCCCAGCACCACCACGTGTACAGGGCCAGGGGCCGAGACGGCGGGGTCTCGCCGCAGGGGCGCGGGCCCTTGCGGAGGCGGGAGACGGGCTTCTCGGCGCTTCGGGACTTTTCGGCCTCGGGGGGTCAAGGCGAGGGGTGAGGGCGGGGAGCCTCAGGGCCAGACTCCAAGGAGGGCTTTCCTCGG